AAATAGTGGCTATTTTTCATTGACTTGGTAAATGCTGGCTATTTTTGAATGACCAGTCCGAAAACTGACTAGACCGTGCTATTTTTACTAAATAATTTGTCCTCAAAGGAAGCAAGACAATTAGTTAGAAGGTTAGTTGGAACATCGAGGTCATTTTGGTACTTACACACACCTAGCTCGGTGCATAAAATGATGTTGCCTCAGCATGCTTTGATGCCACAACCAAATTGTTGAGAAGGCTCATTCAACTTCACTTTTACACCCACTGAAATTAATCTCTACTTTTCAAATGGCTGAGAAAAGCAAAGTTCTGATCATTGGAGGAACTGGATATATTGGAAGATTTGTAGTAGAAGCAAGTGCAAAATCTGGACACCCCACCTTTGCTTTGGTTAGAGAGAGCACAGTTTCTGACCCTGTTAAGAGTAAAATTGTTGAGAATTTCAAGAATTTGGGTGTCACTATTCTTCATGTATGTATATATAGTGCATTAATTCTTTCTTTTTATGCAAACCAAAATGTGGAAAACGAATATTTCTAACATAAGGCAGGGGTAAGATATGCGTATACTCCATCTTACCTAGACTCCACACATGAGATCACACTAGACTTGTTGTTTGTTGTAAAATGAGGAAAAATAATTGAAATTAAAATTTTACATGCAAATAATTGTAAATTTCTTGTTTTGAACAGGGTGATTTATATGATCATGAGAGTTTGGTGAAGGCTATAAAGCAAGTGGACGTGGTAATATCAACATTGGGGATGATGCAATTGGCTGATCAAGTTAAGATCATTGCTGCTATCAAAGAAGCTGGCATTATTAAGGTAAATGGTTCTAATTTTTTCAATATTTTATGATACATTTAGCATCAGTACTCTGTCATTTCTATCTGTTAATGCTCATTCATAGTACTTTGATACACACACACAAAAAAAAAAAAAAAAGCAGCCGTTGTGCGAGGTCCGTGGAATGACGAGATCACAAGGGTCTATTGTACGTAGCCTTACTCTGCAGGCGGATCTGGGATCTTTATAACATGGGTGCACCATTAAAGAAAGGAGAAAAAAGAAAGTATTAAGTGGGAATTGATCCTTACTCTTCTAGCTAAATAATTTAGCATTCAACCAAGTGCACCATTAGCCTCTTTGGAGCATGGATGCCAGCAGATAATATTAGATAAATTCTAGAAAATAAATATATATATATATATATATATATATATATATATATATATATAATACCTAGTTTGACGGAGAGACTATGGGTTCACGTGCCCCATATATTGGGCTATAAATCCACCCCATATATGGCAGAAACTTTATTACGCCAAGGCAACTTTACCGGTACTTAGATACAATTAGCCTGAATAACATTTGAACAAATATAAGAAAAGAAGTAATGTAGGTAAAAGGATAATAAGGGAATCTTGATAATTACAGTAGTAGTTGATAATTTTTTTAAATTTATAGATCACATTTGAATTAGAAAATCTAAACCGGTCCCAATTTTCAGTCTGATTTCTGTGGCAACACCAGTTTTACATATTGTTTATGGAAATAAATTATCTTATACTTAACTTTTTCAGAGATTCTTCCCTTCGGAGTTTGGTATGGATGTTGATAAGACCAATGCTGTAGAACCAGCAAAGTCTGCATTTGCTGTGAAAGTTCAAATCCGCAGAGCTATTGAAGCTGAAGGAATTCCTTATACTTATGTCTCATGCAACTGTTTTGCTGGTTATTTCTTACCAACTCTGGTCCAGCCTGGAGCCACTGCTCCCCCTCGAGACAAAGTCATCATTCCCGGGGATGGAAATGTTAAGGGTACGCGCAAAAAAGTTCTTACCCCCGCGACACCAGTGTTGGTTTATGACTCCATTGATTATAAATGTCTCATTTTTGTATACTGTTTGTTTGTTTGTTTGCAGCTGTATTCAATGAAGAACATGACATTGGCACCTATACTATTAAAGCTGTTGATGATCCTAGAACGTTGAACAAGACCCTCTACATTAAGCCTCCCAAAAACACGTTATCGTTCAATGAGCTAGTGGCTATGTGGGAGAAAATGATTGGTAAAACTCTGGAGAAAATCTACATTCCGGAGGAGCAAATTCTCAAAGACATAGAAAGTTAGTTATCTTATCATCTTGATTTAATTAAGATTGTTCTTTCAATTTCGCATTGGTAATCCTGACGATGTGTATATTGTATACTGTTGCAGCATCTCCAATGCCATTGCCTGTCATACTAGCAATCAACCACGCAACATTTGTGAAGGGTGATCAAACCAATTTTAAGATCGAGCCATCATTTGGGGTTGAGGCCTCAGAACTTTATCCAGATGTCAAGTACACCACTGTGGAGGAATACCTTGGTCACTTTGTCTAAATTCTACACGTTTAGTGTCTCCGATCACTCGAATAAAATGTTACACGATGAGTGTTGTCAAACATTTTGTCTTGATTTGTGAGTGTATGTAACCTGCGTGATCGGAGACTTGGTGAATGGTCTGTTTTAAGCTTATATCTGTTTTCAATATCATCTAATTATATTATGGAACTACCGAAAATGGAGAACATTGGTGTATTTTTGCTTTTGCATTATTGTCTACCTTCTTGTACCAGATTTTAAGCTGGACTTTAAGCTATCATTATTGAGCTGATGAAAGAGCCTTGTCAGCATTAAGAAGGGATTGATCCAAGAGAACTCATAGAGATATTTGAAAAGAACATCCACTAATGCTTGCACTATTAGGGTAGACTGTCCACGCCACTGGGATACGACCCTTCTTCGGACCCTTCATAAATGCGAGATGCTTTATGTACTGGGTTGTCTTTTTTCGCACACATATTGCATTTTCACCAGCTTTCAAATGAGTTCAGCTACCAAGTTTTCAAACGTATGGAACATAATCAACGGACAATTTGCCCTAACATCTAAGGAATTCAAACTTTCAATTCCCTCGTTCACAGAAATAAACATTTATTATAGTTTCTATTTTGTTAACCGACTCTTCATTCAGAGCGATGCGTGCCACCTATCCCCGTCATTAATTCTATTAAGAACCTATGCAATAGTATCGCGATCAAAGAGCTGATTGAGGGAATGAGCGAATACATAGGATTGGAAAATGTTGTCAATTTGGTATGATGAAATAATGAAGTCTTACCCTACCATTATCATGCTTTAGACACACTCCAGGAAGTTCCTCTGCTTTTCTCCTGCTAGTTAGGTACACCCTCCAACTTTAGGTGGAACATTGCTCAAAGGATAAAACCTTCATTTATACTCAAAGTTCATCGATTCCCATTGCCATTATTGTTACGTGGTAAAGGAAAATTCAATGGAAAAAAGAGGGAGAACAATAGAAGGAAAAAGTATTTACTTTAATTAATGGAATTGTTAATGTACCTTCTCTAGATATATTTACAAATCATAGTGTCCACTCTAACCCCTGCTAATAATGCATGCACGACCCTATCTCAATACCCAAATGAAGCTGCCTTAACAATTTGGAAAATGGCACTAAATTTCTGCAACCCAAAATAGAGTCCTTACTCTTCAATGGCCACATGCACACCTTGCTTAGATCCGCAAAAAATGTTGTCGCACTTGTGTCATCCTCCAAACATACACTATTTTTGAAGAATTCAACACAGGTGCGGCAACATTTTTGGAGGATCTTTATTAACAACATATAAATAATAGCTTACCAACATTTTCATCTCCCATAACCTCGTCATCCCCGTGCCAGGGCCGGAAATGGCCCCGACTCAGGTACCAATGGTGGCATCGACTCTTTCTGCGGCGGCACCGCCGCGACCAGCGCCCTCCTTGGCAACAACTCCATCAATTTATCATCCTTTATTATCTCCTTTATGTCACCTGCAAAAGAGAGATTAAAAACAAACTTGTAACACTATTGCTACGAAGTAATGGACCATTCTAAAAATATCCTTACTTGTGTGTTTCATAACAAAATATTCCCCATTGGCTTTTGCAGAAGCTGACAAACGGACAAGAACAGGGGTAACAATGGTGAGAACAGCCCAAAAGAATAAAATCAAGATCAAATTTCTCCCACTCATTTGATAGAGAATTTTCAGAAGACATTAAAATGAAGGATTTTATGTAGTAGCAAAACTATATCTTGTTAGGTACTACAAGAAGACCTATAATTACTTAACTGGCCATGTTTTAGGAACAATTGCATTGATGATACTAAAGTATTCCAAATTACTACATATAATGCCCAATTGGACGTGTATGATTTGTATAAACAAAACCCCATTTGTAATAAAAGCAAGATACTAATTACTATGATGATAATCTTGTTATTTTCTCTGTTTCGGTTGTTAGGAAGTTGTTACCCCAATTGTGTGTTTATGACTAAGTATCCACATGGCACAGCCCACTTTATCAACTCATTTAGCCCAAAATCATCTTATCTTCGAATTTTCCACTTCAAGTTTCCATTGTTCTGTTTCTTGTAGTAATATACTTCAAATTAGGCACATACTGTTTTGTTAGTTAAGAGTTAAATTATAACTAAACAGACAACTTTGACACGATAGCACAGGGTGTATTGGAATTTTATATGAACCTCCAAGAAGCAACTTCTTCGCAAGTGCAAATAAAAAAGGCTAACTGGGTGCACAAATTCCAATTGTACGTTGTTTGACCCAAAATATAGATTTGGGTTCAAATAATTAAATTTAAGTAAAACAGAGTCAATCTTAGCTAATAATAATATCCAAAAGATGAGGTTGTCAGTTTTATAGCGGATAAGATGTATGTTTGTTCGAATGGTAGTGAATGTGAGCAATAATAACAGTATTCAATGATCCAAAAAGATGGGAGATAGCATTAAATAATAGTAAATAACAATGAATGTCATTTAAGTAAATAAAAATGTGTGAGTCACCCGAAAAGGGGTGAGATCTGTGGATATTCTTTCTGACAATGATGAATGATTGATTAGCTTTTGAACACTCAGGTTGTTCTTGGATCAAGTGGAAACGTTAGACAAGAATCTTAGTAAAAATGCTATTTTCGTATGCTTGTAATATGGCCAAATTCTCTCAATAAAGTCAATGTGTTTTTTTACAAATGAATATCTCCTCCCCATTATCATTGTGTCTCTTTCTACTTATATGGAACATATTTCTAAGGCACGGAGAATATCCATTAGAATATTCTCCTTCGTGTCCTATCCTAAAACTAGTCGTTATGACCCTGTCTAGGATGATCGACCTCGTCCTTGATCCACGTCGTCTTCTCGACCTTGATCCTTGCTGACTCTTCAACTGCAACCTTCATTGCTTCTGGAACTACTTCGACCTTGGGCGGGTCTTTATTGAAGTCGTAATGATAACACATGGCAGCCTGTGAATGCCTCTTTAGTGTTAACATGGTTTGATCATATTAGAGATAATTTTTGGCCCATACAGTTAGTCCCTCCGTTTATTGAGGTCGTTCTCGTATGTGAGCTTTGATGGTAGGCTAGAATCACATATTTTAGTCATAGTTTACACTCTAATTACTGTATTTTACTTGTGTTTGAGCTTAAATGATTGTGAATTGCACGTAATATGTGTTTTATGCATTGCATGAAATGATTCCGAGCTATTAAGATACTTTGGAGCTAATTTGAACAGGTTAGAGCTTTGAAGTCTGAGTAAAACCCAAAGAAATTAAGTCGGGATCACGTTCGGAGGTCGAGCACCAAGTCTGGATGTCAAAAAATGAGAAAACAAAATTACTCTGAGAAAATTGTACTGCTGCACGCGCTATGCGTAGCGGGGCGCTAGTGCAAAATTCTTGCAGAGTGAAAAAATCAACTCTCTGAAAATCCTCACTAATGTGGCGCAATTTAAGATAATCGTCAATAAGCATTTTTCTTTTTATTTTTTCATTAGTTAACTTGCCTTCAAGATTTTTTTTGTAGCATCTGCAAGTTCTAGGGGTGAAAACTACAAGAAAATAGTCTTGACATTGAACTCTAATTGTTGTGAAGATGGAGTACAACCAGCCTAAGAAAATGGTTGCAGAATTAGCAGATGAACATTATCACAAGTCTGCTAATTGTTGTAAATGTGGTGGAAATCATCTATGGGTTGACTATCAAGCAGGTAAGTATCCTTCCTAGGGTTCGTCTTTTGAACAGTCTCACTCAATTTCTAGTCCGTATAGGTATGAGGTTTCATATGGGCACAATCTTGACTCTGATTGGGATGAATACCCTTATTATGACTGGAATGAGAGCGAAGTGAGACAACCACCTCAAGAGGAGAATGATAGTTTAGAAGAGCTTATGTATAAGTTCATGAATAGTATTAAAGAAAGAGTTATACAAAATGATGAAGCCATTAAGAACCTAACAAAGCAAGTGAATCAATTAGTAAGTATACTTTCAGAAAGCCCATTGCATTGTAATGGTGATTATATGAAGGAGATACCATTTGAGAATGAGCCTACCCGAGAGGATGAACATCTACAGAGAGAGTTTTCCACTCTGCAAGAGGACTCTGATTCAACTGAGATGATTGAAAATGAGGCTTTGGTTGATTGTGAAGCAATAAAAGAAGAGTTCAAACCTCCATCCACCTTTACACATTTATAATCTTTACTAGAAGAGAATGAGGAAAAAATTGTCTTGGACATACCACAAGAATATTCACATGACATTTCTTCTTTGTTTTCTTATTCTAACCTTGATCATGTGGACTTTATTTTTGGTGATTTACAGGAATATGCATGGATTGATCCTGTAAAAGAATGCAGAAACAAGTTGAGAATGATCCTACAAGAACAATCCACTACTCAAAATGAGGCTAAGAAAGAAAGAAAAGAGCGGGGCTTGCAGATATCCTTAGAGGACTTTGGCCTAATGAGCTCCATTAAGAATCCTAAGGAACGAAAACGAGGAATGAATTCAGAATTAGGGGTGGAGTTCATAAGTTCTCTGAAACGGAAACAATTCAGGGGAGTTATTTTTACCTCTTGCTTTTTACTTGTGTGTCATAGGGATATGCCAAATTTTAAAGTGTGGGGTGGGGATGTAAATATGTATATGTGTGTTTGTTTTCGTTTCTTTTGATTATAATATTAAATTATTTTGGCTAGATTCGAGATGTTGAGAAGGTTGGGGTTTGGTTCAACATAAGTGTGGGGTTTGAATTGTTAATGTATATGTATTAAGTGCTTATGGGGTGTAGTCACTATATCCAAATTTATCCTATCCATCCCGTAGCCTACATTACAACCAAATTAAGTCCTACTTGATCTTTGACTAAATGAGCTCGAATTAGTAGAGTATTACACTACGGACAAGCCTACGGTACGTCTTCTATGGCATATGAATCTTAATTATGAGATTTAGTGAATTTTGTCTATCTTGAGTCTTAATTGCTCTTGAAATTTATCGTGTGTGGAACTACTCTCTATTGTTTGTGTCAGGGTACATGATTTGCGAAGGTAGGGTAAAATCTTTACCTCTGTGTTAAAGTAGGTAAGCAGGTTGCGAAAAATGCGTGGTGCTTTTGAGTCGAGTCTTGAGGCTATGATGTTATGATATGGTGCTTAGTCTGCTTCAAATATTCTTGGCATGATACGTTAGGGAAGTTGTCTGATAAAAAGGTTGTCTCTATGTGAAGTGCAGTTTGATTGCTCGAGGACGAGCAATGGTTTATGTGTGGAATATTGATGGTACGCTAGAATCACGTATTTTAGTCATAGTTTGCACTCTAATTACAACATTTTGGTTGTGTTTGAGCTTAAATGATAGTGAATTGCACTTAATATGTGTTTTATGCCTTGCAGGAAATGATTCTGAACTATTAAGATAATTTGGAGCTAATTTAAATAAGTTGGAGCTTTGAAGTCAGAGTAAAAGCCCAAGAAATTAGGTCGATCGCGTTTGTTGGGTCGAGGACCTAGTCTGGATGTCAAATGAGAAAAAAAATTACTCTGAGAAAATTGCACTACCTTCCTGCGCCATGCATAGTGTGGAGCGGGGCGCTAGTGCAAAATTCCTCCATAGTGGAGAAATCAATTCTCTGAAAATCTTCACTAATGTGGCGCATGGGGCAGCGCATGGCGCGCTGCGCTAGTGTATTTTTGCAGTCTAATTGTCCCAATTTGGCTTGGAAAAGGTACTTTTATCCGGGACCGTTCCTACATGGTATAAATATACCAAAAACACGGATTTGTAGAGGACTTTTGACATGGGGGAGCTTTTGGAGAGCATTGGAGGCTAGAAGACTCAGGATTTCATCATTTTTCTATCAATTCAATATGGGAGTTTGGATTGTAATGTTAGATTGATGCTTTCTTATTCTTTGACTCATTTTGTGATGACTTACTCCATAATTATGGAGTAGTTTACCTTAGGGTTTGACATGATTTGGTGATTTGGTTATTGTTTATGGAATTGATTATTGTTTAATTTCTTGAATTTATTGGAGGAGCTTTAACTCTAGTTGTGATGTTATTCATTTTCTTGTTTAATCGGAAGAGGAGCATAATATTGAATATTGTTGCAATGCATGCCTTAATTTATTTGGTAGTTCTTTAAAGTAATCGAAAGAGCTTTGTGATCTACCTCTTAAATTAAGATTGAGAAATATTCGAGAGAAATTTCTCCTAGACCATTTAGATTCTTGCAAGTTTCACTGCACTTCAGATTAGCTTATTTGAAAGATTTAGACTTAATCGAGAGAGGAGTCTGAATCGGAAGCATAAGCTAATCACCTATTGAATTCGTGGGAATCGATAGAACCTCAAGAGTGAAATATAACAGTATCATATCCAAAATAACAACCTTGCACCTATAATGTCGAAACCCTTATTCCTCACATTGAATAGAAAACAACTTTGCTGATCTCTAGTTCTTTGCGATCAATTATCAGTTTCTTTGCTTTAGTAGTTAATCGTAGTTCATAATCATTACAATCAAGTTTTGATCATCCTGAATAGAGGTTAAACCGGGAATCACTAGAGCATTGTTTAAATCCAATCCCTGTGGAGGCGATAATCATACTATTCTATCTTTGGCTAGCGAGCATCAATTTCGTGTTGTGTTTTGCGTTCGTCAAGCTTAATGAGAAGATAATGTCATTTTCGGTTGAACTTATCGAGTAAGCTGCAAGAGTCATAAACTTCATACCGAACAGGCTTCGTGGCCCTCTTTGGGCCGCATATTTCAAATACCACAGGTTTCACGGGCGATTTTCTGGAGTTATCCTATCCAAGGATTAGAATGACGTCATCACATCGGGTGTCATTATGACGCATAAACCTGATACACTGCCTCGATTCGTGCATGACCCTTGATTGAATCTTCCTTTTCAATTCTGGTGCCAATTATGACGAGCCGTTTTTGGGTTTAGATAGATATTTTTAGACTCAAGTTTGAAGTTTGTTTATTCTAACTTTTCAGAGCACCATCCTTCTTCTTGCCATTTTCCTCTCTGAATTTCCTTTCCTCACTCTGTTTCTCTACTCCATCCCATTATTTCCCTCTTGTTATTCTTCTTTATTACTTTGCATCATGTCTAACTCACCATCAAACGCCGGTGAAGGGAGCCGCATTGCTCCTTTAGCAGCTGTGTTTCCTTCTCACGGGAGGGGGGGGGGGGGGGAGGGGGGTGCTTCCGCCATTGTTGATGATGAAGCATTCCCGTTAGTGGAGGATGAAGCATTCCCGTTAGTGGAGGAAATAATCCCTCGTTACGGTTGTGGAGGAATTCTATCATCACTACAGTGTTTTCCCTGCTCAGAGTGCACCATACGTCTACAACATTATTAGAATGCTGAACAAATTCGCCGAGATGGCCAGGGTCGAGCTAATGCTGCAACATTTGGTTCATCTCTTCGCCCGTAGCTTCTATAAGGGAACGATGCTGAATATTTGCCATCATGGAGGCAAATGTTTGGTGGTGAAGACGGACGATAAGGTCAATTGCCAATTCTGGCTCAGTTTTTTCTATGTCAGGACCGATGATGTGGTGGCTAACGCCGATGGCTTTCCCGAAGCATGGAATTACACACGTAAGTGCTCGTTTTGTTTGTGTTCTTTTACTTGCTCGGAATTAATTGAAGTACTTTTCCTTTCCTTGTAGCCAATAATCACCCTCCCCTATTGGTCACGCACATTTCTGACTAGGTCGAACAAATCCTCCCCCACGTTGTAGGGATCCGCGATTGGCCGAGCTTCATCAAGAAGTTCAGACCGGTTCTTCCTTCGATAGGTAATTTTTTCTATTTTCCCGTGGTCATTTCATTTTTTAGTGTACACCTATTCGTTTTACTTACTCAAATGTTTGTTTCTTTCCCAGGTAGGGGATCTTCTCGAAGGAGCTAGGCACCAGTGTCATCCTTTTGGAGGAAGGATGATGCCCCTTCGGCATCTGCCCCTATTGCGACTACCACCGCTTTTGTGCCGACCCCTCCCTCGGCTGCCGCTGTCGAAGAACCTGCCTTTGTTCAGTCGGCTACTTCTGCTCCTCAACTCTTCTCACTGATTGATGAGGACGACAATATCTCTCCTGAGGATGGTAGTTTGATGCCTCGTAAGAGGAGGGCCGTAGATGCGGAAGGAGAAAGGCCAGTAGCCGTCAACTTGGAGGAATGTGACTTCGTTCTTCGAGAGGTAGCCATAATCCATATTAGAGAGAGCACTAGAGTGAGCTCCGAGGTTCTTTACTTGGAGGAGATGAACGTGAGTGCATCGATGCGTCCATTAGGGGGGACGGTAGAAGGCGGGATGCCTGACGATGGCCTCGCATTTTTGAGGTAAGAGGAGGCTTCGTCTTCTAGGGATGTCGCAGATGTCCCATTCTCTACTGATGTTAGAGAGAAGGTCGTTGCTGAAGAGGACACCGGGTGTGACTCCGATATGGATCTGGATGAGTTGAGGATGATCGATGAGGACTTACTCAACTCGAGGTGAGGTTAGAAGTGGGCTCTAGAACTATTACGATCCCAATGGATAGTAATCCGCTTGTAAATACAAAGGAAGTAGTCCCTTCCCACGATCCTCTTTGTTCTAAGGTTGAGGGTACAACCCTCAAACGATAAACGATAGCACTCTGTCGAATAACATTGCTGGTCTTTCTCTCTAGTAAGTACGACTATCATATATTATTTTCCTTATGCTTTGGTTTCTTTGTAACTTCTAACTCCTTTTCTTTGTTTTATATACAGTTATTCTAGAGATTGAGAGTACTCGACAGGAGAGGAGACATATAGACATTAAAGACATTTACGTGAAGTTGAAAGACAAGTATATAACGTGCCTTAGGAAGTATCGGGAGCTCCACTGTCGGCTTCGTGAAGGTGGCAATGTGCATGTCATGAAGGAGGACTTAAAGAAGAGGGACGAGGAGCTGATGCAGGATGAGGAGAAATGCAGCGTCCTTGAAGGGACGTTGAGGAGCAAAGAGGAGGAGCTAAGCTTAGCGGGGGCATAGAGGCCCAATGCAGCAATCTCCAAGACCAAGTGGTCCAGCTGCGAGGCCAACTTGAAGAGTTCCAGTTCAAGGCAGAGGCTCTTAGTGGAGAGGTCACCGAGAAGCAGGAAGAGCTTGATAAGGCGGAGTTTGCTCGGTCGAAGGCTTGGAGAAGCGTGGAGTTCCTTGAATTGGCAAACCCAACCCTTTGTTCTGAGCGAGAAAATGACTTGTCGACGGCGAGGGCTAAAGAAGAACGACTCGATGAAAGGGGTGGGGAGTTGGAAAAAGAGACCTTCGATCTTTATGATCGAGTTGCTGCTCTGGAGGCCGAGAAGGCCAAACTTCTTGCACGGCCTTCTTCATCTAAGCTTTTGGCCTCACCAACATTCCCTTTGAGCTGTATGAAGAATGGATTCATGCCGAGGCCCAATTGGATGTGCTTCGTGAGTTGCATGTGTCGGGCTCCGTTCCTGCCGCAGACTTTGAGGATGCTCAGGTCAAGGCTCACGAGGCTCGGGTTTCTTGTGGCTACGACCCGACTATGCCTCGCCCTGAGAAGAAGACGAGGACAGGGAGGATGCTATTGATCACTTTGAGGATGAGGCCCAGTACGATTCTATTTACCATCTGGGCGAGGATGGAGAGGGTGTTGAAAATCGGGGCGGTGGTGCCGTTGAAGACCGGACTGGTAAAGACGTTGTGGGTTGTGATGGCGATGGCCAGCAGTAGTTTGTTTTTATCATTTTGTGTATTCTTGTTGGCGTCTTCAAGAGTCTTTGTAAGAAACCTTTGTCTATAAATATCAAAGTTGGTTTTTGCTTTCATTTGCGCCTTTCTTATTTGCCTTGATTTGTTCTTGTATTTCGCGTGTTTTGCTCCTTCGTACTTTCGCTGTCATTCTTTGACTGGTCGTAGTCTTTGGGTTGAATAGCTATAGGCTGAATTACGCCTTTGTCCGCATAGATCGAGTATGTCTGCGGATCGATCGGTTAGGTTTGAACTTGTTCGGTTAAGTTTAACCTTATATCGAAACATGACCGAGGGCCGATAGGTGTCATTTGAACTTGGACGAATTTTAACCTCTTTGAATCGCCGAGGGCCGGTAGGTGTTGTTCGAACTTGGTTGAATTTTAACCTTTTGTAGGTGTTGTTCGAGCTGGGTCGATCTTGACCTTTTATCAAGGTGCGACCGAGGGCCGATAGGTGTTATTCGTGCTAGGTCGAACTTACCTTTTTGTTAAGGTGTGGCCCAGGGCCGACAAGTGTTTGTTCGACCTGGGTCGAACTTAACCTTTGTTAAGGTGTGGCCGAGCGTCGACAAGTATTGTTCGAGCTGGGTCGAACTTAACCTTTTGTTAATATGCGGCCGAGGGCCGATAGGTATTGTTCGAGCTGGGTCAAACTTAACCTTTTGTTAATGTACAGCCAAGGGCCGACAAGTATTGTTCGAGCAGGATCGAACTTAACCTTTTGTTAAGGTGCTTCTGATTACATGATTGGAGAAAGTTACAAAATTTGGGCATTGGATGGCGTTCTTGTCCTAGTCTATCTAGTCCCTTTATTGTTCGACTTGAGAGTATTGAGGAGTCGGGCAATGAAAGAGAAAAATAGTCCCTCCTTCGTATACTTCAACTCGAAGTGTCCCTTTTGTCAAAAACAACAACAACAACAACCCAATGAATTCCCACAAGTGGGGTTTGGGGAGGGTAGAGTGTACATAGACCTTACCCCTACCCCAAAGAGTAGAGAGGTTGTTTTCGAAAGACCCTCGGCTCAAGAAAACGAAAAGAGACAAGAGAGAGACAATATGTTAGTAACATCAACAGAACCATATGAGTAATAACAACATCATAAGAATTAGAAAATAGATGAAAAACAATAATAAAAACCAATGAATAAGGGCCGATACTATGGAAAATGAAAGAATAGTGTGGACGCAACAATATTCTCTAGCAGCCTAGGACAAAACCCTATCAGACCAGCCTCCCATGCGGACGAACCTTATCGGCTACCTCCTAACCTACCA